AGAGGTGGGGAGACCACAACAGATGAAGGGCTCTCACTTGGGTGTATGTAGAAGGGGCTGGAAGGATTTTGGTTGGGATCAACAAAGAGAGGAGGTAGAATATTTTCGTCCTCATTTCCAGAGGAGCCTGAATCGGCCATGAAAGAGGTAAGCTAGAAAAAGCTTGAACCTTTAGAGGGCTCTGGTACCATAACAGAAACCATAACAGTAAAAATGGAAGAAAAGTAATCTGTATAAAAATCAGTCTATTATTCTCAAAATGATTACATCATATATACTGTGCAAAAGGAACGGGTGTGTCCTTAAATCTTGGAGGATAAAAGCATATTTTGTATTACCTATTGACAGCTCATTGTTGTTCTAGAATGTCCACTAAAACAGAAAAGATTCTTCTGCTATGCTACCATTCTGTTATTGACTACGTGGTATTCAAAACAGAATTATAAGGTTTTTCTATTAGTACCCACGACTTTTGATGAGGCTGGCATGGATTTCAATCAGTGATAGTGTGTAACAAACATTTTTCATTGTAATTCAATGACAAAATCTATATTGATCAATTGGCTTATGTAGTTGACCAAAATAAAATGAATATTTATGCCTTCATCTAAGTTCAGTTAGTATAACAAGTTTCCAGGGATCCTAGATCCCTTTTGACCCCACAATAAATGCACTACTTTTTGCTTTACTAGTTAAGTTTATATACTTTGCAATCTCATCCTGCAGCACAAAAGGATTAGGAGCTACTGCTCCTGATCCCTCAAAAGCACGGGAACTTGAAGATGGGCTCGTAGTTCCCCTAGGAAAGCCAGAAAAAAATTTATGCCTCAAGGTATGCACTTTAACATGAAAGTTTTTTTTCTTTTTTATTAGCGGGGAGGTTTGTTGTTGATGATTGTCATGATTTAATGCTTCATATTTATTCTCTACCACTTTGTATTGCAGAGCGAACTACTGTACAATGAATACGTTGTTTATAATGTAGAGCAGATTAGGATGCGATATATTGTTCACGTAAATTTCAATTTTAAGAATAGAAGAAGTTAGCGGCTAAATGATTACAATGTTGTTTGTGTATTTTATCATTTTCTGGTTCGCCTAGCCAATCAACAATCATTATTGATGTAAATTATTCCGAGTCAAAGGTTAATTGGTCGCTCCTTTCTTATCTTTAGTAATAGTTTAAGCCAAAAGAATCAAATGGAAATTAGGATGACAAAATTAAGAAAGGTAAGGGATACAAATAAAAACACTAAATAGATTTTGATTCTTCAATTTCTTTGCCAGTTTTAGTTATTGTATTCTTTTTATAAATAATATGCTATTGGGTGATGATGTACACCTCCTTTTCTGTCATAAAAATACATGCTTTGCTTCTTTCTACTTTTTTACTTTACTATGTACAACAGCTTTCTACTCTTACTAATTGTTTATCCTCACGTGCATAACATATCTACCACATTTATATTATATACTAGACATGGCATTTTGTTATTTTATATGTTAACTTCTTTTTGTACACTACACAGCTAAGATATTAATTTAATCCTATAAAAGACCTTTTTTAGGATACTACATAAGCAAGGTAAATATTAATAGACAATAATAATTGCTTTTATTTTCAAAACTTATTTAATATGTAGATTTTCAAAGGGTGAAGTTGATAATGTATTTTTTTTCTCCATATATACTCACTTAACTTTACTCATTTAAGTTTGTAATATTTAAGTTTGCATCTCCTTTGAATTGGTATTTGGAAAAGGAAAATTTTTGAATCAAGTTTTGAATGACTTTCTTATTAACTTTATATTATTAAACAATACTTTACATGAACCGCGGTTTGAATTGTTCTTACAAAACAAAAATCTTCAGACGTTGATGATTATTCAGAGATAAACTTTAACCTTTGTAATTTGTGCTTCTCTGATTGTTCATCTTTTGTAATGAGATGAAGTATTTTTTTTTTAGTTCTAATATTTCACAAGTTCACGTCTCGTTTAAGTCTAAACCAAACCCTCCAAATAAAAAAAAAAAAGTGGACTTTAAGTGAATGAATAATGTACTTTTGCGATCGTTCAACAAACTTACATAGTCAATTAACATTTTTATTATACTAAATTCATTTTTCAATTATTATAATTACCCATTATTTATATTCTACATTGTAATGTAATGGTTTCTTAAGGGAAGGTAATATTTACACCCATTAGAAATAATGGTAAAAGAAATTAGTTTGAAGTTGAGTATTTGCATAAACACGTTGGTAAATGACAAAAAGAAAATCCGATAAAATATTTAGCATAAGATTATAATATTTACTTATATACGTCTTTTCATTTTTCCAAGTACTTGATTAATTTAATGTTTAAATATCCTTATTTTAATATCTGAATATCTATATTTATTAAAAGTTTCATTTCATAGTCTAATTTTTATTATTTTAAATTTGTGCTGGTATCTTGGTGTATTTAATTGATATTTTAAAACATTTATTTTATAAAAATGTGTTGTAGTATTCAATTGCATTTTTTAAATATTAAAAATTATTTATGATATTACTTTTCTTTTAGAAAATTAAAACGACGGCATTTAATTGAACTTTTAAAATACTTAAAAAAAAATAATGCAAATTTCAATAGATAATATTGTTAATTGAATTTTTATAAATTTAGTGTCTTTCTATTTGTGTGTATGAAAATCTTTCCAATAAAACAATTGTTATTAAAAATTCTATGAAAAATAACAAAGGAAAAGGAAAAAAATAATAGAAAAATATGTCAATTATTTTTGTTTTTATTTTAAAAGTAAAAAATTGTCGATAACTTCTTTCTTTTAATGGATAAGAAAATAAGTGTAAAAATTTGTACGTGAAAATTCTTATTAAATATTTATATGAAAATAATTCAATATATAAATTAAATTTTATAAAGCAACTTTTAAAATTAAAATTTATAAATATGTTTTTATTAATGATTTGATTAATACTTTTTTATTTTCTGTTCATATGCGTTAGTAATGTCCTTATTACTTTTGAAATATTCGACCTGCCTTTTGATTCTTATATGAAAATAAAATTTTCATTATACTTTTTCTATATCTCCTCACTTATAATATACAACCCATTCATCTTTTTTCTTAGACAGTTTGAGAATCAACTTAGTTACTAGTTATTATAAACATAGCCACTCAAACAACTTTTTTCTAATTTTTCGGTGTCACTTTTTTCCTAGTTTAGTGAAATTGTATTATATATGGTCATTACTCTTCAACCTTATTAACATTAATCTCATTATAGGATAATTTAGTGTAAAACACATCTTAAAAGTCACATATCGAAGACTATGTGTTGCTTACCAAGAACTATGTGTTGTCTATAAGGACTAGGTGTCACTTATAGAGAGTTATTTGTTGTCTACTAGGACCATGTGCCGTCTATTAGAGTTAATGGTGAACCACCTACTAAGTGGCCTAGTCGAGTACTTATCGATCTATTTGACTACTAAACGATTTGTCTGACTACTTGTTGGCATGTAGACTTGTCCAACCACTTATCGACCTGTCTGACCACCACTATCCGACTACAAGCTTGCCCGTCCTACTATCACCCTCCAACCACAAGCCAACCCGTTCGATTACCTCTTAGACTACCAAAGCTAATGAAGTACTAATATATAACTTAGTAAGATCTAGATCAAATAACTCATGAGACAAACGAACCACTGGGCCGACTCATGCCCATCTAGGTGATGACCCACAAACGTCATAATTATCCTATAAATAATACAATCATCGAGGAACATAATTTACGTTCATTATTACAACAATAACTATTATTTGACTCACTCGTCTATCTTGGATGTAATGTCTTTTACGGACACACCTTCTCTCGATCTTGAAGAGATTAGGACCTAGAGCATGTTGGCTTCAAGGTCTGAAGTTGGAAGCACACCCCTTCTCGGTCTGAAGTTACCTCCAAGTCTTAGAACAAGTCAATTTGAAAAGTAATGAATTTTTGTTAAAAATAGTTCAAAAGGTCTCCAGGAAGTGTACTCGACATTGTAAGAACACTTTGTTATAATTATTTTTGTTTAATTCATTATCTATTGATTTTATTATTTAAAGGATACGTTGTAACTCTCGTAATTGACATGGTAATTTATTTTTCCACTTATAATTTGCATATTAACGTGCCTTTTATAATTTTATACACCATTATTTTTATAAATAATTTATATAAAAGGAAAAATAAGCAACTTACATTATAAATGTAATTTTCTTCATCAAGAAGATACATGTTTTAAATGGAATTGCAGTTAACTTCTACTATTAAAATCAATTTGATCAATTTTAGTGTGAGTTTGGAAGAGTTAATATAGAATTAGAATTTTCTTTTAAATTGTGTTGTTCATCTACTTTATCTTTATAATTCATTGGACATCGATGTTGATGTAGTAAAAATATTAGTATTGTAAAATATAAAGCTGGTAATAAAGAGAAGAAAGAATGACTAATTTTTTGTGTCAACTTAATAAGAGATAAAAAAATTCAATCAAAAGGATACTATTAAAGTGTAATGCAAATTCTAGAAGAATGTAGAAGCTCCTTAGATAGAAGAATTGAAATGTAATACAAGTTCTAGAATATTCTAGAAAAACCTAAGATAGGAAGAAAAATCAAGAATATTCTACATAGGTAAAAATCTAGAACATTCCACATAAGTTGTGGCTAGTATGTTCTAGAATAATCTATGGGTCTATAAATACCTATGAACTCTACCATTTGATGTATGTAGCCAACATATACCATTTGTAAGAAGAAGCCAACATCTACTACAACTAAAGACAACTACAACATTTCTTTCAACTACTACTTCTACATTCTACTATCTCTACATTTTCTCTACCACATCAACTACTCCTTTCACAACCTTAAAATACTAACAGATACAAATACAGGGTTACACATAATTCATAGAAATAATTAAATTTCATAAAAACTAATATGAGTAACGGTAGAAAAATTAATTATTAGAGAATATGTCTAGTTAAAACCTTAGTAGGAAAAACCCTTTGAAATAAAAATCTATAAGGAAAAATGTATCACTTTTATTATAATGTTCATCAAATATTTTATTTCTCCTCCTCATGTAAACTCACATCATTAAATCACAGAGTCCAATCTTGTGAACCAATTACTCAAAAGTTCTCTTTGGCAAAGACTTTGTAAATACATATGCCAGATTTTCATATGAATGAATCTTTTGAATCTCTATATCATCATTTCTTTGAAGATCATGAGTAAAAAAGAATTTTGAGAGAATATGTTTTGTTTTATCTTCTTTAATATACATTTCTTTCAATTGAGTAATACATTCTATTGTCTTGATATATGGTTGTTGATTCCATTTTTCCAACGATAAATCACAAGTTTGTTGCACATGTTAAATTATAAACCTTAACCTAACACATTCATGACTTACCTCATGTAATGCTAAAATTTCTACATGATTTGACAATGTTGTTGTTATGGTTTATTTCATAGATCACCATGAAATTGTTGTGTCACCACATGTGAACAAATATCCTATTTATGATCAATCCATTAAATCATTATATCTGATTTTGAATCATTTGGATAAAATATAAGTTCATATTCTCCGTACCTTTAAGATAACGAAGGATATGTTTTACTCTAATAGAATGTCTTGTTGTTGGTGAACAAGTATATCTTGCTAACAAATTTATAGCAAATGCTATATCAGGTCGAATATAATTAGCAAGATACATTAATACTCCTATAACATGAAGATGTGACAGTTACGTTCCTCATTCTTTTCTTGAGGTTTAAAAGAGTCCTTTTCAACATCTAATGACCTCACAACCATTGGAGTGCATAATGAATTTGACTTGTCCATATATAAGTTTGTTGATGTATAAAAACACCTATATTGAAATACTTAGTTTGTAATCTCGAACAAAACTTTATCCTTCGAAGATCTTTCATCTCAAATTCTTTCTTTAAGCAATCAGTTGCCTTTGTGAGCTCATTAGAAGTTTCAACTATTCTTATGTCAACTATATGAACAAAAATAATGGAACATTCATTTTTGATCTTTTCATATAAATATAAGGACAAATAGGATAATTTTTATACCCTTCTTTTAATAAGGACTCACTAAGAGGATTATACCACATACATCGTGATTGTTTTAATCTATAAAGGGTTGTTCAATTTTATTAAATAATCCTCTTACGAATTTTCATGGTTGGCCAAAT